AAATGGCAAAGCCTTGAAATAGTCACATGAGATGTTTGCATTCTGGTCTTTAGAGACCATAGATTCAAATGTACTTCCCGTTTTTAAGTTGCCTTCATCCCTAAGACTTAAAAAATCATTCTGCTTTTGTTAATGAAAACAGGTTCTCTTGCAAAGACACTTGCTCCAAGGATCTAAGGCTTTAAGATAGACATTAATTTTATGTATTTAATGAAAGTACAATGGTTAATTTGTGTTGTCTTATAGTTAACTTTTGTTAACTATGTTAAATAAGGCTGAGCCATAGATCTGCAGGAAATAACATCACTAAACAGCAAATTTGGCATAAACAGATCTTCTAAGGAGTGAGAATATTCGTCAAGTCAAATCAACTCTTACAGACTGTTTTAGACACAAAAAAAATGAAGGAATGTCAGAAATGTCAAAACACTTCTCAATATTTTTTCAGAAACATCAACACTTCATATCCTCATTTTCCAAATAAGACACTGATATTTTCTATTTGGAAAAGCATTTTTTCCTTACAAATTGAACTGAGGTTCATAATAGAGGTGTAAGAAAGGGTTAAATAAACTGAAAATTAAACACAAGGAACTGCCTGAAGCCAGCTGGGCTTGGCATTATTTTTTAAAACCAAAATCTTCAAATCTGTTGTAACTAGCTTCAAGGAAACCCACAGCTTCTTAGCTGTGAGTAGTTGAAATTATTAAGAAGGATTTGCCTCCCTAAATTTGACTTCCTATTTTGACATTTCCTCAATGACAACAATCTGTGCTTCACCTTCCTTCTCTATATACTTGGATTTCACTTGGATTATACGGAAATCATCTCATGTCAAGAATACCATTTACCAGCATGGATTGTCATTTTCTTATCAGTTTATCTGTGACAAGACATCCCTTTAAGATTGTCATCTTATTAACTGGTAAAGTAGAATTTACATGTATTTTTATCCTAGTATGGATTATAGCAGCTTGATTGGTGTGGTTATTTCATTCCTCTAAGTAATCAAGCGATTTTTCTTACATGTTTCTAAGCATTCCCAAACTGTTCAGCTCACACTTGCCCCTTGGTGCTTTCTTCAAAAATAATTTTATTTAACTGAAAAATAATAAAGAGAAAGGCTGTTGAATGCATAGTGCAGCACACAATTCCCTCCCTGCTGGGGGAGATTTCTTGCCTGACCTACTGCATTCTCATGTTTTTGCTTTCCTCTCAAGGAAATTAAATGAGTTTCCACAACTGAGCTTTAACCACCAGTAAACCACCAACCCCCTGGCACAGGCCATTACCAGCAAGGCAAAGCAGCTCACACAGAAGCAGGTATTTGTGCCTAATCTGTGCTCTGGGACTTCTGAGAAGTTTTGCAATATCAATTACGGGGGCTAAGCCATCAGCAAGGTATTTACACACAGCAAGTTCCCAAATTCAGTTGCTTTGTACGACACTTGGTGGTCACAGGGGCTGCCAGGTGGCACAGGACAGGGACAACATGAGGCCTCTGCTCCCAGAGGACCTGTGAAGGATGTGGCCTTGCTGCAGGGCACAGCAGCAGCCACAATTAGTGCAATTTCTCAAGCATTTGATAATGAAAACTCTCTCTTCCAACAACAAGCAAGGAGCAAAAATATTGGACAATTCCTAGTATCTGTGAGTTTCATTTTGTAGCAAATGGAAGAATTTGGCTCCTTAACCATAAGAACCCAAACAAATGTATTTATCTGAATTACACACAGATTATTTTCTACAATGCAAATGACCTCTTGCCACATTTGCACCGTTTGCACATTTGCAAGGGCCAGGAAAACCATCCTATTCTGTCCTGCCTCAACTCCTAAATAAAACAGCCCAGGGACTATTCTCTCTCACATCCTCACTCACCCCAAGCAGGATTGCCAAGTCCAAATCATCATATGGCAACAGCCCCAGGCAGACACTGGGCTGCCCAGCAGAGCACCAGACTGCCCCAGCCACATCCAGCCCCTTGTTCTGGCTCCAGATCCTGTACTGCTACTGGAACACCTTGGGGGCACCAACAAACTTATCTGGAAGGGAAAGAGAGAATGTCACTGCTACTGTCTCAAGGACAGGATACTACACCACACACTCAAGGCTGCAGCCATTGACTGTGGGAGAGCTGGACAGAAGGCCAGGGCACTGTCCAGCCACTTCAGCACTTTTTGCCACAATCTATCTTCTGAAAATGAAGAGCTTCAGTACACATCCTATGGCCACCCTGGAGTACAAAGCTTGACAGCAACACTTCAAAAGCATGAAGGGGTAAATCTTCAGCTGCTGTGAATTTAATCAAACTATGGCACTGAGTACCAGGAGAGGGTATTAACCACATGCAAAAGCAATCACACACAAATGAGAAACCAAGGTGAAACTCAGGTCACCTGCAGGACCTACCATCTCTGTGGAAAACAGAGTAGGTACTAGAGACTGGGTTTTGATAGGTGATTCCACAGCTCAAAGACCTTTTGTTTCACAATTTTCCAGCTTGTGATAGCAACAAATGGAAAAACTCTTCTTCCAAGCAGACGTACATATGTATTTTTGGGGATGTTAAACACTATGTTAAACACTTTAAATTAGATGATGATTGGTTGAGGGTAATGGTTTTTGTAACTTCATTGCTTTTGTTCTATTCCAGCAATGATACCTCACAAATTCTTAACAGGACTACAGTACAGACTTAGCTGCTTTGCTGAAGTGGGATTTCATTCTTCACTCAAAGACAAGCAAATGATTGAATTTGCAAAGCAACTTTCTTGAATTCTTCCTGAAACAGAGGTCAAAAGAAGCATGAACTTCTTTCTCAATCTGAATCCATATTTCTGAATTTTTTAAATTAGGACTAGATCCAGAACAGATTTTGTTCCTTGCTGAAAGTCACAGAATGTCTTCTATCATCTCATTCTCTTACAGAAATAAAAAGTACTCTTAATTCTATAAAATATGTGTTTAGCACAAAAACCCATAAATTTGACTAGACATTGTTAATATTTGTTAATACCTCTTTCAGTGAAGGACCATGATTGTGGATGAGGGATTCTCCCTGGGTTTCCAAACTATTAATACATATTTTTAACAGACCATTGAACTTTTCTATACAGACACTGTTTTATAGGGTGATACCCTCTGCAATAGTCACACAAGCATAGTTTTAAAGACACTAGTTTTAAATTCAGCTCAAATTTGTGATTGAATTATATGCTAAATCTTCAGCATCTGCCTCCCTTCACTGCATGCCAGTATGGACAACCTTTTATTCATGTACTTAACCTGTGTTTAGAACCTTCACATTACCTTCACAATAGGTTGTGAAGATACCACAGAAGACTGATAATTAGTTCACAGGCTATAGCTTTTCTTGGAACTCTACAGCTGCACATTAGTATTTGCTGGCTTCTTGTTTGTCACTGCTAGGTGCCACCACATCTGCCTTTATTCTTCCTGGGCTCTTCCTGCAATTATAATATCCAGGTTTTTAAAATAAAAATACCTTCATTTTAAGTAGATTTGAGGAAAAAAATTGTGATCAAAAAGATCGAGTTTTTTATTGTATTTTCAATGAAATAAGTTAATTTGAAACATGAAGTAGCCCCAATCTTCAGAAACTCCATTTCCTATGAAGGATATCTCCCAGAAGCAAATCTTCCACCATTTTTTATGGTCTGTTCCAGGCAAAACCCCAAAGAATTTGGTGTAAAGTCATCTTTTTTGACTAAGGTTTGTCCTCTGCTGATTCAATAATAAGGATGATCATGCTTTCAGAGATGTCTGAGGAAACACACACATTTGCTGTGACAGAATTGCACAAGCAAGACACATTAACAGCTATGCTGTCACTAGCGTGCGTAATCCGGCAAAGAAGATGCTTAAGAAAGAGGGGTTCTTCTTTAGAGATTTTATTTGTCTCAGGCTGGCTTAAAAAACATTTTCTCAGAGCATAAGCCTCTTTTTATTCTTCTTTTAATAGTCATTACCACAGCAATACCTCTGCAAAAAAAATATATGGTAAGAAAAAATACATCTTTTAATAGTCATTACCACAGCAATACCTCTGCAAAAAAAATATATGGTAAGAAAAAATACATCTGAAAACTTGTTTTCTTTAGAAATCCAGTGTTCTCCAATACTGTTTTGGTTTTTTTTTTTTCTTATTTTTAATTTGTCTTGAGGAAGCACTGCTACATGCACTTTGACTGGTTAGAAAAACCAAGCAAGAATGACTACCAGATATTTGAAATGCACATCTATTGCGTTACACCAAGACGAATATTGCCCTCTGCTATAAATATGGGGTCTGGTAGCATTCCCATCAAAGTTAGGGGCAAATTTCCCATTGACTTTAACAGTGCAACACTGGGCCTTTAGAGAACAGACAGAGTACATTTTTATTTCTGGATAGGAAATACAAAAACCTGAGTACCAAAGTTTCTGATCAAAAAGAAAACAAACATACCTTATGGGCTTTTTAATAACCTTTTCCCCAATAAAAAGCATAAAGTTGGTCTGAAATTATACGTTTGAACAGAAGGCATACTTTCTTTCTAGCCAGGCATTATATCATTCAATCTCTGAACACAGAGATGTAATATAAAGTAATAAAGAGGAAATACAACATGAAGTAAGATTCAGACATATTAAATTGCTTAATGAAAACACAAGAAAAACAGTGAGTAGAAAATATGGTTTCCTTTATTGAGAAAAATTCCCTTTCAAAAGCTTAATCAATAATAACATCCATATTTCCTGAATTATTTTTTATGTTTATTTTTTTAGAAAATTCTTAAGTATCTTTAATGAATATAGATTGTCATCTTTCTGCAGACTGGCCTGGCAGCATCCTGGTTAGACTGCTCTCTGCTTACTGTTTCCCCTATGATGCTGACTGTTCTAAGCAGCATGCTTCACAATTTCATTTCAGATCATTCTTGTCACTGACTTCTATCCAGTAAATGTAAATACATATTTGCAAATGTACCTAGGGAAAAAGAAATCTTGTAGGATAATGCTGCTGGTAATTTGGAGATGATTTGAACACTTGTTAACACAATGTTTTTATACTCTTGTACTGCAGAGCAGATTTAAGCTATGAGAGTATTGTAGACAAACCACCAAGATTACTGCTTCCATATTCTTTGACCCCAATCCACTGTCCACAGTCTACTAAATATCTGGAGTATAGTGACCAGGATGGTACCCTATGGGGATGAGGTGCTGGGCATAGAGCAGGAAAGATGCAGGTGGCTCTTAGCCATTTGAAGATCTTTAGAAGTTTGACCTCTCCCAGATTAGCCCATTTATTCCCTGTTTGTTCCATGACCTGCCATCACGACAGCAATCCCTACATGTACAGGAGAATTGGTGTTTTGGACAGCAGATATCCAGAAAATGAGATCAAGGCCAGCAGACAAAATAGAAAACTTGAGGAAGGTGAAGATCCTTCTGGATTGTTTCCTGATTTCTATCTGTGAGCCTTCCAGCACGGCATCTGTGCTTAGGTTATACCTACTCTTTGGCAACTGGTCCCCAGCTGATTAAAAAAAAAGTTTTCACATGGTGTTACATGTGTGACCTGCAAACAGCCAGATCTCCACATTTCTCCAACTCAAACCACTGGAAACATAAGCCCAGAATTCTTCTTCCCTGGATGAAACCCATAAGCATCTCTTGAGGTATTACTGAAAATTAGTGAATATTTGTCTGAGGTCCTTTTAATTGCACTTCATAAAAAAGGGGCAGGAAAACAGTGTGCAGAGTGCAGTGACTGGTTTGAGCTGCACCCAGGGCTGAGCCGCAGCAGGCAGGTGAAGGGGCTGGAGGCCCCCACATACTACACATGCCACACAACACCAGCTGCAGTGTAGGAGCAGCTTCTGGAGATGCTTTGGGTGGTTGTGCTGGTGTGAGGGAAGTCACAAAAGGGGGTCAGACAGAGAGTAAAACACCACAGAGTACTGAAGTAATCTTATTTACATATCTGAGCTAAATCTGGCTAGTTTCTAAAGTAGGCAGTATGCACATAACACCTAGAGCATCATCTCCTTCCATTATAAACCTCTACTGATAGTTTATAAACATAAATGCGGTCAAGCTAGAAATAAGCTGTCACACAAAATGCTGACATCTCTAAATACCAAGAGTATCTGAGAGATTTTTTTTTCTCATTAAAAATATTGCGTTTGTTTTTCTCAGAGGAAGTAGAAATCACAAGAAAAATCAACATTACATTACCTAATCTTTCTCATTTTCATTTTTAATTCCCCCAGCATGGGGCTGAGATAGCTCTGTTCCTTTGCACCGAGTGCCATGACAACCAACAGACCCACCCGGTATCTGCACTGCTATTCAGCTTGTTACCTCAGGAAAAATGTACACACCAAATGCTCAAACTCTTTTTAAACCTATTAAATATAAATAACTAATATGATTTGACCTAGATAGCTGAATGTAATGTACCATAACATCCCAATATGAAAAAAAGACCCATAGTGTAAATGCATTTATAAATGTTATGGAGACTACGTAAAGTTGCTACAATTAGTTCATCAGTTCTATTACAAGAGAAGTTTTCCTTAAACTAAATGTTTTCAATGTCAAAAATGGGAGAATAGCATTCAAGAACTTTGGTACTAAGTGTATGCTAGAATTACAAATTTCTATGTACAGTGTAGTTAAAGCATTTCACACATATGTACTTTTATAAATTATATACATCATAAATCTGGATAATTAATATCCCCAGAGAAAAACTAGATCCCCTTAAAGATCTAGTTTTTGCACCTTATTGGAACCTAAAACTCAGAGGTAAAATACCACAGCTTTTAGCAGTATTTGTAAATGAAACAAGCTGTAGTCATATGCACACTTAAACACAAATAAGCAAAATAAATATATATTAGTTCCTTGCCACTAGCCATTACACAAACATCACTTATGAATTGGTGTATCCTACTCAACCATCAGTCTTGTGTTTCCCTTTCACCTTGTAGTTTATCAATGTACTAGAAATCCCATCTGATACCAAATGTCCAGCTTGCACTTGACGTGCAAATACCAGCAATATATCCACTTTTACTTCTTGTCCTTATAAATTATGTTACAATTTTCACAGATAGTTTACTTAAATGTCCTAATCTTTTCCCGAAGAAGCACCATCATTCTGGCAGCTGGCCTTTGCAAGAGAATGTAGCATTCTCATCTGAAAAATTACAAAGGCTGTTAAGATCAAGCTCACATTCTTCAGCTGATGCAAGGCATGCATTTAATTAGCACATCTTTACCTCTGCCAGATTTAAATGATTGCATCTCTTGTTGATACAGGAAAAATGCACAGCACTTGCACCCTTAACCTATAACTAACTGCTTTAAAGATGAAGGGCTTGGAGTTGTCTGGCTGATCTCAACTTTATTCAGTTTAATTCTCATGTTCTCTAAACAGTATTTTGCCATTATACTGCAGCTTTCTCTTCAAACATTTCTTCAGTCTTCTTCCCCTGTATAACTGAATTCACAAAGCCTTTATTTTGTATTTGATTTGATTTTTCTCCCTTAAATGTCTCTCTAAATACTTAATTGCTTTTTCAGTTTCCCAGATAACATCCAGAGACATTACACATTAATGGCTTTGCTTCCAGCTACTGACCAGCCATATAAATCTGTTCACACACCACAACTCTCTTCAAGAAAATTGGGTTCAACTCTGTCCTAAACTTCAATACAAAATCTGTTTGAAATCTGCTGATTTAAACCAGTGTGCCACAAAAAACCACAGTTGTCAATGCAAACCACCCACCTTCGTGACCCTAATGTTTTGACACATTTGAATCTGTCAGGAAGTGCAAAACAAATGAATTTCATTTGTAGCTGGGAGACAAATGAAATTATTTTGGGTGGAGCCTGCCCCATAAACTAATTTCATTAGATTCAGCATTGCCTTTCATCTGGTACCACATCCATTCATCTTTTGCTCAGAAACAGGAAGAGGAGGCTGCTGCTTCTGCCATCCTTGATTCAGACCACATGAGCCCCAGCTCAAAGAGGCATAAGTTGGCTTGAGGCTGGAATTTGGTCCACAGGAGCTGACAAAATCACTTCTCTGCTTGAGATCAAACTACTCTCATAGAAATGCAGCAGAAAGAAGGACTGTAGGAAAACATAACTAAATTGCTTGTACATGTTGTCCTATGCAATGTTCTGCAATCATGTTCTTATTCCTCTCCTTCATGACAGTCTAAGAGGGGAAAAAAGAGGTAAGCATTTACCTAACATTTGAGGTCATCTCAATGATTAATTATTGGTACCTTTTTGTTTGTTTGTTTGTTTACAGCTGTTGCAAGAGAATTCCTTTCATTAAAGTATCACCTTGGTATGATTTCCAACAGAAAATATATTAACTGAAATTAAGTATGAAGACTACCAGTATGCAGAGCTGTGCTATAGAAATGTATTGTTATCTGGTCACCTCCTGCATGTTACCCCATACTTATAAAGTTTAAATGAGCATCTGAAAGTGGAAACAGAATTTAAGACTGAGAGGAAAAACATGAAAAAACAAAGTATCAAATAATTCCTACTGAAGATATTTCTAAACAAAAAGATAAACAGAGAAATGAAGCCCTATATATGACACAGAATTAATTGCACTTGACTATTTATGAAATATATGTGCATTTCTATGAGCATGAAGAGAAGAGTGTTTTCAGCAAGGGAGGAAGACTGACTGAATGACACGCAAGCACCATTAGCCACAGCCCTCGGGGACCCAAACTAAACAGATCATTGCTCATATAAGAAGAAGAAGGTAAACATGGTAGAAAATGTAAAAGTTTGACAAACTACAGGGCTATGGTCTGAGACAGCAGAGAATAATAAGCAAAAGCAAAAAAGGACAGTAAGTGATGTCAGTGGTAGAGAAATCAGCTGCATCACAGGCATAGGTACATTGTTCTGGGAATTTCTTATTTTTAAATGAACAGGGAACTGTTTTTGCTGAACCGGTGGCTATCAACCCTGGAGCAGTGTTTCCTTTACAGGAAGGCAATATTTCTGAACTGGACTTCAACTGAGGGTCTTGGCAAAAATGAGTGTGGATAATATAGGTGGATCCATTCTGGATGTGTTCATGGAAGCAAAGGTATATGGAAGCTCATGCCACACAGAGATTTCTCAAATCTTTCAGGTCTGAACTGTAGGAATTGTAGGAATCCAGTGTGTGCCATGTTTGCATTTCAAACAATGATCATGTGTATCCCGCCACCTTCTTCAGTGAACGCAACCCACAGGAAAGCAAGATACTGACAGAGATGTGTTCTTCCACTACACCACGCTAGTGTTAGGGCTTCTTGGGGCTTCTCTGCCTCTTGCCTTCAACAAAGTCTTGAATCTATCAGTGGGAAACCCTGTCTGGGGTTCAAAAGAGGGGAAAAGGAGGTTTGGTATGGTATTTTCTATGTACAATGTATGTGTGAGAAAGAAAAGAGAGTCAATTTCTACCACTTCAAAGGGTAAAGACTTCGGCATTTTTAATTTTCCTCCTCCCTCTGTAACCTCTACAAAAGCAAGACGGCTTTTAAATGGGTTTTTTTTGTCTTGTTTTTTCTTCATTTTCTGTGCTCTATTCCTCTGTCCTTCTCTCTGTCACAAAAATCAATAGATACTAATACCATTACATGAGCAGGAGTGTTAGCTTTGCAATAACTTCTGGACACATAGACATGCATTTTATAATTTGCCATATATCTTTGACCAACTCTTTTTCCCTTTGCTCTCTTACATACCTCCCAGGGCTTCATGCTAAGACCAGACAGCGCTGAGACGCCATAATGCACATCTTTGTTTTACGTGAATCAAGTGGTCAGGAAAATGTTTTCTGTTCATACAAATATAAAATCATCTTTGCTAAGTATTACATTCATTTTTACAAGACCAAGGAATAACAAAACTTGCTCCTTTGTTTGTGAGACAGATATATGTAATAACGTTTCTACTCAAAATTCAACAACTAAACCCACTGTTACAGTAAGTTTTGCCACATGGAAAATGGACTTCTCATTTCATGGTATCTTTTGAGACTACACTTCATATGCATTGCATTACAGGAAACAGCTTTGTTGTAAGAATATTGTAATACTCCCTTTCATAGCTATATTATGAAATAGTGCAAAAGGAAAGGAAAATGTTTTTTCAGTAGACCACCAAGACAGTATTGAGCTTCAAGAGAATAAATAGTCCAGACCAATCCAGCATTCAAAAATTGCTCCTCTGCACAGTCATGGGTTTTATTTAGACATTCAGAGCAAGGAATATTCTGCTGTAAGAGATATAGAAACCACTAGTTACTGGGAAACAAGTCTTTTATGAATGCTTTTTAGGACAGTTTTACGTGTCTCAAACATATCCTTGACCTGATTTGCCATAAATACATTGCTGTTTCAACTACCTTGAAAACAGTAACAAAATCCAACAGTATGGTCAGTCAGTCATGAAGATACACACATGTTACAGCATCACAAGTAGCTCAAGGCTGAAATTTCTATTAAAAGAGAAAATAATTAAAGCACTACATTGGAACTGCTCATTTTAATGCTGCTTAACCCATCACAAATAATACAAAAATTCTGTTGTGATTTTGAAATCACTACACATTTTAAGTGAATGAAACTGGTGATGAAACATTACAAGGAAAAAGAGAGGCAGGCACAAGTCTTTTTATATGATAGGAGAGTATTTGTACTATGCTATTATCATTTGAGAGGAAAAGAGAGATGCATCAGATTTGATAAGGCGGAGAGAGGTGATTCTTCCTTCAGTGAATAGAAAACAGATATATACAGATTTTTCTTAACTTACAGCTACAAATATACTGCATGTCTTCTCCTAATAGCTGGTGATGCAGTTTATAAGCTTCCCTTCAGAGAGAGCAAATCTAATATCCCCAGTAAATGTTCAGGAATTTTGTAGTGCTGGTGACATAATGTATCACGACAAATGTGACCTAGAGGCACTGCAGCATGGCAGATACAGTATGTGCACAGCCTCTGGCATGTGCAGGTGCCAAAGAGGAGAAGAAACAAGGAAATCCTTTCCCTTTAGCACATTCACATCATTCCCATTTCCTGAAAAACAGGATAAGCACATACACCAGCTCCTACAATGCTGGGAAACAAAAAGGGTCATTCAGCTGTAGCAGTAATGGGAAACTCTATTTTTCTTTGCTTCAGGATTTGGAAGAGCTATCTTGAAACTGAGGTCAAGATCATAAGTGAGGTTAATACAAGACTCCAACTGTTAAGAAGTGAAGACTCCTGGAAAATGGAGAAGAATTTTCTCATACTCTTTCAAAATAAAATTCACCTGTGTGGCCTTTAGAGACTCTAGTGCTTCATTTCTTCAGTATGGCTAGAAGTATTTCATCTTGTTTCTACAGAATGAAGAGGAACCGGTAGAGGTAACTTACACAGATCCTTTACATCTCAAGTTATTTAGAACAGATGAATTTGAAGTTTCCTTATTCACCCTCAGAGGAGTTGTACTAAGGAGTTCAATATTCACAGTTATGTATTTTTAAGCAAAACACTTAAAATTATATCAGTAGCATACATGCTGATGGGTGTTTTATGTTCTGTTTATATAAAAGCCCATTCAAGTAACTGTGTTTCAAGCCTTTGGGGATGGCAAGAAGGGAGACTTTACTTGATGAACTGCACAGAGTTAGCACTGAGGAGTCCCTGCACACATCTCTAGCAATATAATTTTCATGTTCTTTCTTCAGCAGACGGCAGGATGGTCATTAGAGAATACAAGAAAGAGTTTTCCAAAGCTTAATAGGCTTCTGCCTTCTACATCTATCAGTACCTTGCCCACAAGTACAAGCTTTTGTACTTGACTATGGACCCACCAGTATGGGTTTGATCTACTTTAGGTTTTCTAGTTTTTCCCACCTCTCATGTCTGAAGAGGATGCTTTCAAAGTCCTATCCTGTACAGCATCATCTGGAGTTCAAAATTCAAAGAGTTTTCAGATGTTACTTAATTTTTCCCTTTCACTTTCCTCATCCAGAACCTCCCTTCCCACTAGACAAGGATGACAAGTCCATCATCATGCATATGTATTATTCTCAGTTGAATTCTGTCTTTGGCAATCAGACTATGGTAAATAAAAGGTATGGCCTAAAGGGGATTGTGCTTTGGTTCTTATTTGCTTGTAAAGAAGAGAAGAAAGAAAAGGATGATTCTTCTCTTTTTGTAAAAGATGGGTATCAAAAGAAATAATTTAGTGGGGAAATTCTTTATCTACTGATCTGGTATCTTTTCTAAAACAGACTGTTCTGCAATACATTCATGTAACCCAATTATATGATTGGTTTTATCTTTTTATGTGCATTTCTTTCTTCCCGATGGCAAACTAATCATTGGACTGTGCACTTGTGTAAAGCAACCTCTTGGACAAATTCTACTTGAGAGTTTTACCAAATTATAGCTGTATTTTAATAAGCCCATGATCCAACAGACAACAAAGTAAACAGGAAAAGCTCTGCTGGAGCCAGACTCTCTCTGGGCTTTTCAGCTGTTTCTATATGTAAAATGATTAGTACATGTTTACATATTCATGCATGGGGGAGAACAAGTTCAGATTTAACTGTCAATATATATATGTGCATACCACAGTATCCAATTTGTTGTTATTAAAAAAACTAATAAACAAGGCTTTGTGAGTTTACTTTTTATTAGAAAAGCTCAATAAACACAAGTGCTGGCTTTCTCCTAATCTGTTCTCAGCAAGTAACCTCAACATAACTTATTCTATCCAGTGAAAATTTTCACTGTTTATCAGTTTAAAATTGATCCCTCTTTTCTTGTTTACTGTTGCAATAATGGGTCTGCAGCTGAAAGAAAATAGGCTTATTCTTATAAATAAAAGAAACATAGTGATATTCATGTTAAAATATTTCCCTGGTATTGTAGAGTTATAAAAATGGAGAAAGGGGGAGGGGGTTGCCATTTGTGCAAATTTCTTTTAAATAGATGAAACAAGTTCATGAAGTATGGTTTCCCATTTCTGGCAACTTCTGCCTGCCTTTATTCCACTTATATTTTACTGAGTAAAATTATCTTCTATTACGCCTCTCTGTCTTGTAAAGCAATATCCTGCTGGTCAAAGTATTAAATATTGCTGAAGTCATTGATATCTCAAGGTATTCAACATGTCATTTAGACTCTGATCCAAAACATACTGAGATAACTGATGCATTCCTCTTACCAGAGGACGTTTCTCATCACAATCACCTTTTTTTCCACCAGGTAATCTGTAATGCTTTACACCATTTGCACTGAACTCAGCTGTTCAGAAACTATGGTGTTGACATGTGGCTAGGAAATTCCCCCATGGAGTGCACAACTGCATACTGCTGGCTAAGACCACGCACCGTTAAAGTCAAAGATGACTCTTCCAGCAATATCAAGGGGAGCTAGAATGGTTCCCTTGGTCAGCATACCCTGGCCTGCAAAACCAACAGTATCTGTAAGTTGCTAAAGATGAAATCTTCAGAGGAAAAAAAGATTTGTATCACAGGTGCCAGCTCAGTCATAAAAACTTTTCACCTACTCAAGTGAGTTCCAAGTATCCTTCTCCAAAAATATCTCTTCTACTCTTTGTGGACTTTTCTAAATATCTGGCTTATGTAAATTCATCACAGATAAAACAAAAGCAAATTAAAGAACTGCATTAGAAAGGTTAGTCCCATCCTCTTAAGCACTGATGCTTATTTTATGGGAGGCCAGCAGAGGTCATATGAGGGACAGTGACTTCTTTTTATACTTTTAACCCTGCCTTCTCTCCCTTCTCCAGGAGCAACATAGTCTCAGAGGACAAAGGCTGGAGTTGGAATAGCTCTAAGGAGCCTGTCTCATCCCCTGGGCTGCAGTCCATGATGTAGAATGTTCAAAAGCAATTGAACAAACAACTTCTCTCTAATGATGCCCAGAACCTTGGGGATAAGCAGTTCCACGCAGACATGTTGGTCTAGTAAAGTACTTGTCTCCTGTTCCATCTATGTAATATTTTCTACATGGTGATAAACAATAGGGCTGAGCTGAGCTTACTGCCTTACCCACTGGGAACCCATGACTATTGAATGCCTAATATCACAATCTTAACACTGTGTGGAAAAGGGTTTTGATACTTGAAACATCTTCCCAAAGGTATTTGATTAAGTAGGTCAGTCTCTTGCCTAGTCAACACAGCTCCTTCACTTTATTCCAGAGCAGTCATCAGGCTGCACTTTCAAGCAGTGTTTTCCCATTTAAATTATCTGCCTGCATTAAGGTAACAAATAAATACATGTGGCCTTTTACATCACTGGTTTGGCCTTGCAAGTGCAAGTTGGTATGCAGCCTCAGCTCTCACTGAGATCACCTGAGATGAAAATCTCCAGCATCTATCTTACAACATCTTGCAAATCATGGTTAGAGCCTTCATATAACTCCTTTCCTCCTTTGTTGCCTATGTCTGCCAACCCATCTGTTTTTAAAGTGATACCTCTGAGGGGAAGTGAAGGTTTGCTGCTACATCTTGCTTCTACCCAACTGACACTTTACTGAATAACTTCTATTTTGCTGCATTCTCCAGAAGTCCAAAAAAGTTAGTTTAAAAAGGAAGGTCTTCTCTACAGTCCAGGTGGTTGACATTGGTTTTAGTTCCCCTTCCCATATCTTAGGATTTAATAATCAAATTTCTACAAATGATCTATCCAACAGAATTTGATTCCCAAACATTGAGGCTTTTGTTTATTTTGAAAAATCAAGCACATTTTATATTTATTTTTATATTATTTTGGTATAATACCTTTTAATTGGAATAATCTTGCTTTAATTTTCTGCACTATATATGTTCTTTTGTTCCCATCACCCAAGTAGCTGTTTAATGGATAACTACGAATTAGCATTTGTTTGATCTCAGGTGTCTTTCTGCCTAAAGAATTAGTGGTGCTTTTGATAATATATACTCCAAAGGTATATTGTTTTGAACAACTCTTTTGACCTACTTGTTTCCATAATGTTTGAAGTTTCTGTCAATGTGATTTCTCTTTATCATTTTTCTTCCCTTTCCTTTACCAGAGGCTGATTTCCTTCTAACAACCTATTTCAATTCAGTAAAACTCCTTTTATTTTTTAATTTTCTTAGATTATTGAAGTCCCCAGATTCTAAAAACATTAATTTTACATTTTGTCAAATAGAAGGAAGTTCAGTAGATTCAAACAGAACCAGACTGAATAATCCTACCTATGTAAAGTCCTTTTTCCTCCACTTTGAAAAATTCAGCAACTGTAGATGAAATTCTTGTTCCTGTGACAGGCTGAAATGAAAATTAGAGTAAGCCTTATTTCATTAGATATAAAATATAAAACTCTTTGTAATTTAAAAAAAAAATGTATTCATATCACATTATATAAGTAACATGCAGACAGTCCTGATCCATCTAGTAGGCATTTTATTTTACAAAGACCCCAATCTTGCAGATTGAACAGATCTGAACAGAAGAGTCCTTTCACTTCCACTGAAAGCCAGTGAATCTCTTAGGTACTAGGCTTATAGAGGTGTTTCGGCACTTTAAAATGCAGACAGGCTCATAATAAAATTTTAAAAAATGTACAGAAAATGAATTCTCACTCCAGCTCATTTCAGTGTATATAGCCCATTATATTTCAGATGAAACAGGACCAAAAAAAATATTCAAACATAATTTTGGTTTAAATAAAAAAAAACAACAAAAATTGAAAATAATTCTGTCCCATGGAACAAGAAAAGGATAATTTAGAAAATATTCAGGACATTTGTTTTAAAGACCTTTAAATTTGGGAGAAAACAATTAATCTCTCCGAACTCCATCATGTGTTCAGAGATGTGGTAGGTACTGCATCATTTACATTTCCAAACAATACCAACTGCATATGCTCACAATGACGCAAAAGGATTCATTTTGCATCTGCACGTACAGTCCTTGCACCACTTGAGGTGGGATAAGGCTGGGATTGCTAAATTCAGCTTTTTAAAAGGAGACTATTTTGTTGAAAAGCAGAATAGCTTCACAGTCAATATAATATGCTTTTAATCATAGAGTGGCTTGGGGTTGAAAGGGACCTGAAAGACCATCTAGTTCCAATCCCCCTGCCATGGGCAGGGACACCCTTTATTAGACCAGGTTACTCAGAGCTCCATCCAACCTGGCGCTGAACACTTCCAGGGATAGGGCATTCACAACTTAATAATTATATAGTATTACAAATTCACCAAAAAGGCAATCATCAGATTTGAGTTATTACACTGAGTTCGAAGATTTTCTTTCCAGGTTATTTCTCAGAGATGACTGCATTTGTCTTCAAGAGTAACAACATTTTCAAATTACTTTTTAGAGAATATGAGAAAAATTTCACTAAGTTTTAGCTAACACTGGTGAAAACCCAAACTCAGAACTGGTACTTGCAATATGAATGAAAGGCTCCTTAGAATTAAAATATATTTGAATGTTTGGTTATATATGACACCATCTATTCTAACTAGAAAGACCATAAATGGTTCTTTAATGATAAATTATTAAAAATTGTCTCCAAATACAGAAAGATTTCTGTATATATCATAGTGATGTTTTCTTGGAAAGAATAAATGACTGCAAACTAAACAAGTACAGACACAGAATAAGAACTCCTGAGATATCTCAAGTTAATTTTATAATTCACTGTGTAATCTACAGAGCAAGCTTATGAAGTTGCTAAATTAGCATTCCAGGATCTCACTGGAAATCTCCTTTCCTCTACCATTATCCTCAGCATTAGCTCAAAGGCCTTTATCAAGACCTCCTACCCTGCAGACACAGTGCAGTGATACCAATCGTGCAGCCGAGAACTGAGCAAGCGCGGCAGCTCTTAGCTAAATCACTGCCTGTATCTGTCTTAGTGCTTCACAGGTGCCCACATTGGGCAAGGTCTGGTTTATTTAATAAGTACTTGGTATCTACACTAAAACAAAGAGAAACTTCAAAATAAAGAGAAAATTAAGCATCTTTATGGCATTACACTATAGTGCCTTTACAATGATTTTGAACGCTTATTATTTAAAATTAGGAGTTAAGGAGGGAAAAGGGCAGAATTTGTTATCACAAACTGTCTTAGAGAGGAAACTGATTACAAACATTCGAGAAGTCTTTCTGAACAAGATAATTTTATCCATATAAATTGTCATAATTAGATATTCATTACCTCTCCCTGCCACTGATGAACAAGCTAAAACTGCAATGGTTAAGGCTAAGAAGAATTGGCCATTCCATGTTCATATGAACTTTTACTATCTCTTTATAACTGATTGAGAATGTTTTCTGATTTATATTTAAAAAAAAAAAAAAGTTTAAACTGCTTGACAAATATTTCATTGTCTCTATACAGCTCACTGCTGCCACTTGTTTGGAAAAATGAAAGGTAAGTTGAAAAATGCACCTTTTCCATTTTCATCTCTAATTGAATTCTCTCTTGACCCCCTTATTCCCCATGGCTGTATTTCAGGTTTTGATGATAAGAAAAAGAATTTTGTATTTGGATAATACAATTTTCTCACTTGCCTTCAGCGACCTTCAGCTCAATTTCCTCTCCCCAGAGACACTGTATATTATAGAATTGAATCAAATTCCTTATTCATAGAAAAAAAGTTCCAATTTAATCTGAATATTCAGCATTTTACACTGGTCAGGGTGATGGATGGCAAATTGAAATGCTTTTGGTTCAGGTAATCAAATGGTAGAATTCAGACTTGTATTGAAAAAAATAATGAAGTCTATTCAATATTCTCATAAGGTGCAAAAAATGCACATTACATGGTAGAACTGGGTTTTTTTCTTATTATCTAACCAATAACATCTCCACCTCAAAAAGTGCAGTAAAACATTAAGAATTTATGTAGGTTAAAGCATGTGAAAAGTAGCCACCTTGGGGGGGGAAATGCAGGCATCATTTTAAGAGTGCTCAGATGAACATGTACAAAACTGGGGGAAAAACAGACCTGTTCTCAGTATGTACCTGCAGTGTTCAATGGTGGGTTACTGAAGCCTTGTAATATGTCTTAAATGCTTTTTGAGAAAGAAATACAGCCCTTTTAATCAATTCAAGTTGTTTAATATACTAAGCCACTGCAATGTTTCATTTTCATTCCTGAAAGTTTTATCAAATAACGTCATCAGGTATCTCATTATTTCCAAAGGACTTCAATTTCATTTTGGAAAATCCTCTTGCTATTTGTGAACATTCAACCCCAAAACAACAATTGAATTGAGCTTGGCACCTCACTAGTGATGAAACTTACTTAGACATCTGGGCTTGAACAAGATGTCTCCAGGAAAACAAGTGTATAATAATATGCATAATAAATCTGGTTTGGTTTAAAAATTCCACCAATAGTTACTTTCCTCCCTTCCAGAGATGTATGGAATTATGCTGTTTGACTTTCAAATACTGTATACCAGTTATTTCTTTTATAATTATTTGGAGTATTTAAGCCGCAAGGAATGCCTAACTGTAGGCAACACTAACACTTAATTAAAAATGCAATGCAGCAATCTAAATGTTAAGGCACTGTGCTAAAACTAAGTCCAAGGCTGCCCTTACTGACTGTACTAGAGTTTGTGCCTCCTCCATGTTTCTGCTCTCACCTTGCACACACAAACCTGGTACACAGGCATTATCCAGGACAGCAGGATGAGGGGAACTCCTGCTCAGAGAAACTTCCCCATGCCTGGTAGACACACCTTCAGAAACAGGGAATAACATTTTTCATCAATATTCTTTCCTTCACACCACAAGCAAGCAGTGCTCAGACTTGATCTTCCTCTGGGGAAAGAGAGAGCTCTGCAAGATGCTGGACATGCTCACAGGGCATTTGTGTTCTCTGCTTGTTGGTGGAGTTTGTCTTACCAGCTTGTGTAGTTTCACAGCCACAAGGTAAAGATGGAGTGTGAGGCAAGTGGAAAAAGTATGCACAGAAGCACTCTCAAGAGCAGGATAAGTGCTCAGACTATCAAGGATAATTAGAAATTATTTATTTTTTAGAAATAATTACAAGTTAAAGCTCTTAATGATGAACTAATTCTTAAATTAAGATACATTGGCAGGAAATGGTGAATCTTAGCAAGGACATGCGACCCACCAGCAGTTGTGGAGAGAAGAGCTGAACTAAGAAGACACACAAATATATCCATTTCAGTCAAGGCCAAGATTAAAAACAAATAAATAAATAAATAAATTGCATTTTTTCAACCTTTTCCATAAGAGCAATTTAGGAACCAAACATTACATGCACCACTGTGTGGTGTAAGACTGGTTCTGCAACGGAAGCCACTAACAGGTACACTGAGGAACAAGAAAATAAGAGCCCAACTACTCTTCCCAGGTCCCTTACATCTTCAGGACTTGCAGGAATATAAATAAATAAAATGCAATATTTTATAGGTTAAAGTGAATAGACACCAAATAGATACACAAAGTTTGGAGTGGGTTATATAATAAAAAACACAGAAATTAATTTAAGATGTCGTAGAATAGGATTTAAGCATGTGATTTTGAAGTAATTCAAGTAGAAGATTGTCCCCTGTCCTGAACAGGATGGAAGAAAAGTGCATAGTTCTGACTAATCTATTATCTGCATTTCAAGGTCCAGAACACTAAGGACATTTGCTGCATGAGTTCACTTCTGCTGAGAATTATTTGGAATGTCTTGTGAACACCTATGGGAACATTAGAAGTGTAAGACAGATGTGACAGAAACTTCTTTTACACATTAAAAAGGAAAATTAGAAAAATATTTTAATTTTGTCAAAAAGCTGCATTCCAATCTCGCTTCTTCCAGAAGAGTTCTTAGTACCAGTCCTTGCAGAAGGGCTAAGTACCGAGTCAGGACAGTCAAGCTATGTGGGGAGGTGCTTAAAAGTCAGGAAACAGCAGCATTGAAATACTAATACACGCTGGTTTCATGTTACCATGGGGACTATTCCCAAAGGCCATATTAGCCCATGGCCACTAAGCCCCATGGGGGAACTTTCACAACCAAGGGATACCAACAGGCTCTTCTGGAGGGCAGCTCAGATCAGGAAACCAGCTCCAGCCCAGAGGAGTCTGTATCACCCAGATAAATTTAGCCACTGTGAATACTCTTCATACATTCAAATTACATTCTTTAGCTGCAATTATTTTTCCCAGGATCATGTGGAACATTATGCAAGCTTTGTCTTCTTCCAGTGTGCACTTTTCTCATTTCCATAACAGTGCCGTATTGGATCTATACCTTGGCAGTTGCTGACTGCTGTCACATTGACTTCTTTTTTCAGCTGGTAGTATTAAAAGGTAAATGTTAATTAAAGGGACTATTTCTCTAACCTTGTCTCTGGGATAGAATATTTAGTTAGGAATAGTATTGTTCATCACAGCTGCAGCCTATTTGATAAATGCCTTCTAAAAGCCAGACTCCTTGTCTGCTGGATATGCTGCCTCACTGAGGACTGGGGGAGCAAAACAGCTCAAGGTAGCCTTTGTTAGTGCCCCTCCAGTGCTTTTTTCAGACCAAAGGACAAACATGGTTGTGACAGTGTGAAAAATACTCTGGCCCAGTGTTCAAGAGGCTTTTGTTCTTTGTGTGCTAACCTCAATGAGCACAGAGAAGAGCAGAGGTTCCCATGTTAGCTGGCACAGCACGCGTGAGCTGCTGATATGCTCTGAATGTACGCCAGCTTGGGTAGCAATTTAATAAAGCAGCTGAAGCTAATGCCATTTTTTGGCACCACATAAAAGAGTTTGTTGTAGGGTCACATATATGCATATAAAGGGTCATGTACCAGCAAATTTTCAGGAAATAGTAGACATGCACATTATTAGACTGAATTGCTGTCTGGCTCCAATATCTAAAATATGTAGCCAACTCTTAACCCTACGTCTCAACATTCTGATGCACTTAAATCAGAAAAACATGTAGGGTTTCTGTGTCTTAAGTGAAATTTCTAGAGTAGGAGAAGAATATCAAGAAAGTAGCAGATTCTATACAGAAATACTTGAAGAGCAATACTGCTGGAATTAGTGCCACTACTGACAAGATATTTTGATTAATAAACACTTTCCAAAATATGAGATTGCCTCTAAAATCTGATTTTTAAGAAATTAATCTGGGGTTTTTTTTATTTAATTAGGATTTTTGAACCAATAATTTTGTATTTCCAATACTTTCTTTGCAACTATAAGGACTCCTTTTAACATGCACATTTAATGGAAGATAACATTATTCCATAATCATGAGACTCTGGAGCTTTATAAGAAAAACAGTAAATCTTATTAGACTTGTGATAAAATTATTGGTGTTGGCAACCTTGCAGACATATGCCTAGAGCTGCACTGTGTTTTCCTCCTCTAACTACTGTAACTAAAAGGACTTTAATGAGAGTAAAAGAATGTGGCTCTGTCTGCCCAGAATCTTTTGGAATTTTCACTTTTCCCTAATGAAAATGAAAACAAATACTTTTCTTTTTTTTTCCTGTAAGCTTTTACAGACATCTGAACTGACTTTCGTAATGAAGAAGGATTAAGCAAACTCAGGAAAATTATAAATGTGGTTTGTATTAGTGTACTAATTAGCTCATAAATTTAGAAATAGTTAATCTTTTAGTTTTGCTGAATGGAAATAGCGGTCAAATCACAGATCAGATCTTGTAAATGGAGTAATGCAGTGGTGAATTAAACCCCCCAGAGCATAGGTGTCTGATCTCATAGCATTATGAAAACTGGAAATCTTGCTACTGGCTTTGAAGAGCACAAGGTCAACTTAGCCAAAGTTGTAAAATATTACTCAAGCAGCCAGATACTTACCAAATAATAATAAAAACAATGTGATTTATTAGGTGTGCACTTCTCATTGTATTGTAATCCAACAATTAACTATATTAATTATTTTTAGTTCCATGAGCTAATTAGAGCAGTGGTAGCTGGCAAAATTCTGTGGTTTACTGAAGTTTCTATTTAATGTATGTACTTATGTTCACAGATATTCATAAGACCCAGCCCTAGAAATACATCTGTTATTACAGAAAAAAATTGTGGGTACCAAGTACTAAAAATATACTTGTCCATTACATGATTTACATTTCTTTAGAACTGCCAAAGTAGAAAAAGAGTAGAGGCACTGTTTTACACTGCCCTGTTGATAATCTGATGAAGACTGCCCTGATGAAACAAAGAAAAGTAGATTCTGTCTCAAAACAAGTTTAGGTCTCAGTTCTTCAGACTGGGTCCTAGCCAGGTGATGGAGATGCAAGAGCCAAGCACCTGGGCATGGTAGCAGACAAGTAGCTGGCAGACATTACAGGCTGCTGGATACAAGAGCTCAGAGCCTTCTCTCCCCTTTAATGATTGCACCAGGACAAGGTTAGAAGAGAACTGGGCTCAGTAACACTCACTGTGGAGAATGAATGGACTCCCATTCTCACACCCCATAAACATCCTCACGCACACCTTGTTAAACACCACCCCTGAGACTGCATTTCAAGCAGTTTTCCATAAACTCCATGTGACCTGGATACAATGCTAGATAAAACCATCGGATAAAATACAGCACTAGAAGTATGTGAACCTGGGATTAGAAGATCAGGGTGACTTAATGCGGAACCAGCCTTCACATCTGGACTGCTGTAAACATCGCTCAGGCCAAGGCCCCTGTGGAAAAAAACCAACACACCAACAGTAATTCACTAAAATGTGTAAGAACTGCTCATTGCTAGAGCCCTACAGTGATATGCAGTAGGAATTAATTTAAAAACATGATGGCAAACAACTGCTGAATCAATTTCCTTCTTTGGCTGGTAGTGCACCTGCTCTTACAGTATCTACATTTTATACTCTTTTTTTTTTTTTTTTTCTTGTAGAGATGTAAATATTCCTGCATTAAACCAACTGTTCAGGTTGAGAGAGCCAGGACAAGGTCTTAACTACATGGTGCATGTGATAAGGAGGAAACAAAATGTGTCTGCAAGTACAAAATGTTTAAATGCCTCTACTTGTGACACAAGCTGGCAGTATTGTATGAATTTGTAATTATATCTCTGATTTGCTCTTAAGGAGTTGTGCACCATGAAGCCATTAACCAGATCCTATATTACTGCAGTATTCTACCTCAGGGTGGTGGGAGACAAAGAAAATTCAAGCCTCACATCTCAATATTAGACTTTTCAGAGAGCATTGCTGGCTGCCAAATATGTACACCAAGTCAGCCTTGCTGACATATTTTTGCCTGCTTATGATGCTACTTCTGGAGGCCATATGACCTCTAGTTCACCATCCCAGCTCTATTTTTGGTAAGCTGCTGCAAGAAAGGATGGAGTGGAATGGGTAACTGGTGTGGGGACATATTTCAATGGATTACCAGTTACTACCATTTTCTTAATGTTTATCTTCATTTTAAATTATGCAGCATAAGGCATGCAAAACCCTCTCCATCCCCAGCCCAAATTAGTATCAGGACTAGGAATCTGAGCAACAGTATGTTAGACTTTATCCTCCATTTAATGGCCAGTAACATTTACACTCCCCTGAAGTCTCTCTGACTGCATACCATAAGCAGGTTTACAAGGAACATCACCTTGGCAGCACAACCTCAATGAACCCAGATGGCCAAAATTTTCAATAGCAACAACTTAAATAAAAGTGACCAGTTTGTCAGAGGCATTCAGCACACTTGCTTCCAACTAAGTTGACACATCAGGAACTCAGGACACAGTTATTTTAGTGCTTATATATAGGTTAGAACTGGACTTCAGATACCTAAATTTCAAAGTTGTGAAATATGTCAGCAAAAGCATTATAAAAGCAAAAGCCTAATCAAAATGCAATATTATCCTTAAAGCAGCATTCAAAAGAAGTACTGTAGCTCTCTTCCCTGAACGACAGGGTATGTTTTAACCCAAATACCACACAGCTGCTCACTCACTCCCCCAGCAGGATCAGGGAGAGAACTGGAAAGGTAAAAGTGAGAAAACTCATGGGTTGAGATAAACACAGTTTAGGAGGAAAGGCAAAAGCTATGCACACAAGCAAAACAAAACCATGAAATTAATTCACTGCTTCCATGGGGAGGCAGGTGTTCAGTCAGCTCCAGGAAAGCAGGGCTCCATCATACAGAACAGTGACTTGGGAAGACAAGAACCATCATTCCAAACATCCCCCTCTTCCTCTTTCTTCCCCCCACTTTACATACTGAATTTCTCCATTACCAACCCTATGTTCAACACAAATCCAAAGCAAGCCCCATACCAGCCCCTGTGAAGAAAGTTAACCCTGCCCCAGATAAAATCAGCAGAAAGGCAGATGAAAAGCTCCAGAATAAGGACTCAGAAAGGTCCTGAAGTGAACTGTATTTTGATCTTAGGCATGTGTTCCACCTCAACCTGCCACTCTGTTTAAGGATGATGGCTCTTCTTCTGACTGTATTAGAGTACATCTGACCCAGCCCTGTGCAAGAAAGGAAATAAAATGCTCCAAACACATTTATCCTATCTAACATTAGACTTCTAAAATGTGGTTATGTATACCTCAAGTACTAATTGAAATTCTTATTAAGTAGTGGAGAAGAACACTTCTAAGTTGTATTACAGCTGATCTAGGTTAGATGGCTACATCTGGATAACATTTATCAGGCCTTAGAAACGTTGCTTTAGTACAGAGAGATTGGAGACACCTCTTTATTACCTGTATGTCTAAGTTGTACAGACCCAAGGTTATCAGGGAAAAAGCCCAGCTCTCACTGCAAAATGCTGATTAGGAGTGGAAATACTCCTTATGAACACCATTGCCCTGTGTCACTATACACAGTGATAAAGGAAAAGGAAGACTTTGACATTTAGTCAGGAACATATATTGGCAGTAGTGCTAACGTGACACTTGCTGAGTCAAGACCAGTGAAGCAAGGTCAGAAAGGAGCTGTAGGCAAGAGAGCCAACAAGAGCTGCATGTAGCTGTTCCATTTCTCCACCGGGGTTAGTAGCTCCACACACTGGAGATATGGAGGGAGGTACTGTGCTACACGGGTACACCAGCATGGTGTACTAACTCCACTGCATTGGGCTGTTAGGCCCAAGCACTTCTGTTATTAATTGGCTCGAGTTATATCAATGCACCACTCTCTAGCACTTAATAAAGAAGTGCCTTGCCTAAAGCATCGTCTGTATCTTTTACAGCAATGCTAAGTGTGATCCCATCACTAAACTTTCAGGTATCAGTTGGATATTGCATGCTCCGTTCTTCAGTATTTAATATTTATTCAGTGGATTTTTAAAGGATAAAGAAATGTATCCAGATGGATACATTTCATAAAAATGGTAAGACACTAGAATAGATTTTTGCTTTGCATACATTGAAAGCAACGTAAAAAGGGTTCAGCTTCTGTACTCACCATGTCAAGCAAAAAAAACAAGGAAACAGAAGTCAAAAAGGATTTCAAGTTTCAATTCTTGGTGGAAGATCTGAACAAAAAGGTTCTGTTTAGGTATTTCTCCGCTTTTGGCCAAGTTTGAGCCAGTTTCTCTATAAACACACATCCCTACCAGTAGATACACTGCTGAGTAAACCTGATTCATCCAGAAACATGTTCAAAACATCTGTCTCAGTTGCCAGTACTGGTACAACCTGGGGAGGATGCCCAAAGTGTCTTTTGCATAACAGAAGGCACATGGAATTGATTCCTCTCTCACATCAATGTTATCCATGACACAGTCTAATGAAGTCAGAATTACAATTGCTTTGAATCTATACTAGCATGCATGAGAGAACACTATGACTGTGTGCATCTCTTAGAGGGTTTTTTTTTCATTTATTTCTTTCTTATTTCTCATGTTCATCTGGGAGATCTCATTGCCAGTTTCAACAAAGGGCATCATCTCTTTGCAGATGATATCCAACTCTACAAGGCTGTCAAGTCACACTCTGATCCCGTTCTTGCCACCTGTCTTCAACATGTCAATCAACAGATGGCTACACCATCACTAAGGAATGCTTCAAAGGCATTCAAAATGTTTTAAAAGTCCTCTTTGTTCCATGTCTCTTGCTCTGCGATCAGTCTTCTTAATTCAGCCCTTCAGTTCTTCGCCAAAAATCTTGCTGCTATCCATAACACAGGGTTTTAAATTTCTTTTCCCCTACGTAAAAGCTATTTTCATAATTTACAGATTTATTCATACTTTGACATCTGCTTCCGCTGTGTTATGTTGAATGTTTTACTCCAGTTTAAAAAATGACATTTTGTCCACTTTGGCTTTCCAAAAACATATTTTCTAACTCCATCAATGAATGGGCAGGAAATGGAATACCACCCTACAAAAGTGGACACTCCCTCAAGAACTTTCAATGTCTTCTTAAGAACAGAATCTCATTTTAAGACTTGTGAAAATATATTTTGGTGTCTACAGCTGAAAGCTAAAGCCTTCTGATATACTTAGAAGAGTAATACAGGGTCTTGCCAGATGATTGTTATTATCAAAATATCATTCTAAGCATAATTGTGTTGGACTGTACCAGATTTCTCTCACCACATCTCAGCTTTTGCTTCTCCCCAGCCCTTTCTTGTCTCTGTGTCCTCTCTACAAGCTTCCAAAAGTCAGAAAGCAAGCCCATTCCTTCACTTACCCTATTTTACTCTTGCCTGCACTTTCAAGCCTTCCCTTCAAACCACTGTATCATCTTTGGTACAACCCCATTTCCACAGCATTAATGTTCCAACAATTTGTAATAATAACCTGTCATAAATCTAGAGTGTCTCTGCTGGTAAAGGAAGTGGCAGAATGTGAAATGGATTAATAGAAGTGTAGCCACATGAGGAAAAATCGGTGCAGTAGAGGTAGGGAATCTTGTGTAAAAATACTAAAGAAAAAACTATATGGGCCAATGTTCAACCACCTAAACCCCAGTGATAAGTGCACATAGGGAGCCACAAAGGGTGTCTCTGAAGGCTGACAACCACAAAATCCCAGTCTATGTCTTCCAGTAAAAAAAAAAAGGGGGCTGCAAACAGATTGGCACACATCGTAACGGGATTATCCTTCTATTTGTTACTGCCTCCACCTCCTCTTTCATCCTATCATTTGCAATCCCATATCCCTGGTGGTAACTATAGCCATTGTGTAGAAAGAGCATTTAGTGTTCTCCTTTTAACAACATTTAGCAGATGGAACCAGCTCACTTTCACAGAACCACAGAATGGGTAAATTGTGTGGAAGGGATTACAGTGGGTCATCTGATCCAGCCTCTCTGCTTAGGAAGGGTTGTCCTAGAGCACATGGCACAGGAGTGCATCCAGAAGGTTCTTGTGTATCTCCAATGAGGGAGACTCTATAACCTCTCTGGGCAATCTATTCCAGTCTGTGTGGTCACCTGCACAGTAAAAACACTCTTCCTCATATTCAGGTGGAGCTTCCAGCACATCAGTTTCTTGCCTCATATCTGAGAGGTGTCTGAACCCAACCCCTCAGCACCCCTGCTTTGGATATTTATACACATTAATAAGGTCCCCTCCTAGCTACGTCTTCTCAAGGCTGAGCAGGCCCAGCTCTCTCTGCCTTTCCTGTTGAGATGCTCCAGTCGCCTTATCCTCTTTGTCACCCTCTGTTGGACCCTCTCCAGGAGATTAACATCTCTTGGGCCGGGAAGCCCAGAACTGCACACTCCAGGTGGGACCTCACCAGGGCTGAGTAGAGGGGCAGGATCACCTCCCTCGAGCTGCTGGCAACGCTCTTCCTTAGGCATCCCTGGACACCACTGGCCTTGGCCCCAGGGACGCACTGCTGGTCAGGGACAGCTTGTTGTCCACCAGGACCCCCAGGTCCTTCTCCTCAGAGCTGCTCCACAGCAGGTCAGCCCCAGCCTGTGCTGGTGCCCAGGGTTATTCCTCCCCAGGTGCAGGACCCTGCATTTGCCTTTGCTGAATGCCAGATAGTTCTCTGAGACTCTCTTCAAGCTGCCGAGGTCCTTCTGCAGAGCTGCACAGCCCTCTGGGGTATCGGCCACTCCTCCCGGCTTTGTGGCATCAGAAAACTTGTTGAGGAGATACTCTGCCCCTTCATCACTTTGTCAGCTCCTCTCAGACAACCAGCAGGAGCAGCCCGTGAGACGCCGAGACCTTGGCAGAGCTCTAAGTTGGGGGCAGGNCAGCGGGGCGGAAGGGCCGCGCTCTCGCGAGATGGCGGCGGCCGGGCCGGGCCGGGCCGGAAGGAGGCGCGCATTTGAAGGCGGCGGCGGCGGGAAGGGGCGGTGGCGGAGGCGGAACGGGGCAGGTGAGCGTGTGTTTTTTCGTGGCGTGGAGTCACGGCGCTCCTGAGCTGTTCTTGCCGCGCGGGCGAAGTGAGGGGCTCGCCCGAGGGGAGCGAGGCTGTGTCTGCAGCGCGCCTGTGGCTGCGGCGCCGGTTCCCCGTGCCCGGGCGGCGCCGGGCTGGCCCTGATCCTGACCGTTGCTTTCCAGGCGAGGGGCGCTTGAGGATGGCTGAGCACAGCCGCCAGCGCCGTGAGGGTGTTGAGCTTCAAAAAGTAGGGAAATGAGGTGTCCTTCGTTTTCAGAAACGGAATAACTGAACTGCGAAGTTATAGCAGTTTGGAAAGTTTAAGCGATGCAGTGTTTGAAGGTTTCTAGTTCTGCCGTGGGACGAGGATGGGCTTTATGTTTTAATAGGATGTTAGTTTGCTAGGTGTTACTCGTTTCCAAACTGAGGTGCTTGTTTTAAGGCTTGTTCAGCCACGTATTTGTACATAGAATCATTACTGTTGGAAGAAACGTGTAAGATCATCACTCATATATATTTTATCATATGCTTTATGCATATAGGTCAAATTCTGTGAAAGGCTTTAAAAAACACAAACATGAGGAAGCATAGATTTTATTTGAACTCTACCCAATCATGAAGTAATTGGATGCCGAAAATCTTGACAGTAACTTTGGTTCTGTTCTCAGTGTTTCATTCCAGTCCTCTGTGTCTCTAGCACACACACACAAAAAAAAAAAAAAACAAACCAAAAAAAAACCCCACTCACGTATATTTCAGTTTGTTTGAACCTGAAATCACACTGTTGCAATTCTTAAGTTACACTGGTTTTAAAGAACTGCAAAAGTGAATGTTAAATAAGAGGTTTTTAAAATATCAAATGACAGGGCTTTGGGAATCATTCACATAGGGGAATGCAAGATTTTAAATCCATATCACGACCCCAGAATGAAAATTGAGCCTTCAGTCTTAGCTCTAAATCTCTTGACTGAAAGACTTGCTTATTAAATATTATTTTTTCTATCACCAGTGCTTAGCATAAACTGTTTAGATATTTAGTTCTTAGTATGTTCAATTATAAGTATTTTCAGGTCTTGTTTTTCATAATACATGTGTTTTTAATGCATTTTCTTAGAGGATATTTTTAATATTTGTTAGCTATCTCTTTGAGAAAGCCCAAGTGCAGTTTCTTGTTCTCTAATCTCCACCATTTACACAGTATGCTTTTAAAAGAAATTATCTGTTATTTAAAAGAAATTATTCAAGTTGACTGTCTGGTTTATGGCTTACACTTATAAAATGTTGTTGAAATAATATGTTAAAATATAATTCCTAACTTCTGTTGGTATCTTGAGGGAATAAATATCAACACTTTGTTAAATGATGCCTGTGAAACACTGAAAGTCGGGTGGAATATTTATATGATTGTCAAATACTTACTTTGAGTTTGAACCAACAAAACAGGGAAACTGGCAGAAAATGTCACCTGGAAAAGTTTTGCAACCTGCAGTGAAAATGAAGGTGGATGAACTGTTTTTGTGCTGGTTAAGTCAGCCTGCAACTCAGCTAACACTAAAGGACTGCTTGAGAAGAATCAAGAATAAGGAGAAAACAGAGTTTGGTAACACAGATTCAGGAAACAGTAAAAATGAGAGTTTCACCAGTAAAAGTTCCAATTCCAAGCAATGCATATTAGGAGATACCAGATTGCCTTTGATGTCTTTCAGTCCTCCTCAGCCTTCTACTACTCTTCCATTGGCAACACCAGCCAGCTCAAGGAACATTTCTAATGTTAGAACAGCACGACGATCCTCAGGGACCAAAGAAGTAAGTTTGTTTCTTATTAGATTTATTTGTTTAAATGAAACTGACTTCTGTGTTTGTGGTATTGGCAAATTATGTAAGTAAATAGTTTCCCCAGTGGAGGTATCAGGAGCGGAGTGAAGCAGTAGCCCTGAACATAAAACGCCAATGTTTGTATGTCATTAGTGTTAGTGGATAGGTGGCCTAAGCTTCCATAAGATTATTTTGGCTTCCTGCCCTCTAATTGTGGATACATCTAAGTCCTTATGTTTGTGGTCCTTTTATAACATGCTGCCTTGACTGCAAGTATTCCTTTGTCTAATGATACCAGGCACTGTTGTTAGTACAAGACTCAAATTTGGCTTCACTGAATCTGCATATTAACAAAGTAATTGTTTTGGTACTGCATGGTACACTCAGCACTTCCTTCCTAATGAGCTCTTTATTTGTAACAGACAATGCCCTCTATGCAAGGATGACAGCCCTGCCCCCAGCCTGAAATTTTCTTTTTAAGCTTGCAGTTCAGTTCAATCTAGTTCCTAGTTCTTTTCATAAACTGCAAAAACAAAACTGGATAGAAAACGTTGTTGTAACTGAGAAAAGTTAAATGCTTTTTTATGATCAATGATCATAGAATTATAGAATGGTTTGGACTGCAAGGGACCTTCAAGACCATCTGGTTCCAACCACTCTGCCATGAACAGGAACACCTTCCATTAGACCAGGTTGCAAAAAGCCCCATCCAACCTGGCTTTGAACACTCCCAGGGATGGGAGATGCACAGCTTCTCTGGGCAATCTGTTGCAGTGTCTCACCATACTCACACTAAAGAATTTGAATAAACTTACCTTTTCAGTTTAAAGCCATTTCCCCTTGTCCTGTCACTACATGCCCCTGTAAAAAGTCCCTCTCCAGCTCTCTTGTTCCCCTTTAAGTACCGAAAGGCTGCTGTAAGTTCTCCCCAGAGCCTTCTCTTTTCCAGGTGGAACAACCCCAGCTCTCTTAGCCTGTCTTCTTTGGCAAGGTATTCCAGCCCTGTGATCATCTTTGTGTCCTTCCTCTGAACTTGCTCCAGCAGATCCACATCCTTCTCATGCTGAGGACCCCAGAGCTGGGCACAGCACTCTAGCTCGGGTCTCACCAGAGCAGAGCACAGGGCAAGAATCACCAACCTTGCCCTACTAGCCAGCTGATTTTGATGCAGCCCAGGACACAGTTGGGTTTTTGAGCTGCAAGTACACATTGCTAGGTCATGTTGAGCTTTCCATCCAGCAACATCCTCAAGTCCACCCTCAGGGCTCCTCTGAATCCATTCCCCACCCAGCCTGTTTTTGGTTTGAGATTTCCTTGTCCAAGATGCAGGACCTTCCACTTGACCTTGCTGAAATTCATGATATTCATAAGGACTTCTGAGAGTTACTATGCTATTTGTGCTATAGGACTATAAATTCATATATTCTAATAATACTGGAAAATTTAAAGAGGTTGTAACTCCCAATCGCTCTGTGTACTTTGGTATCTCACTTACTACAGTGTCCAAACCTGGTATCCCAGGGAGCCTGCTCAGTTGGGTAAAGGTAGAGAAGATAAAGCTGGGATATTTATGAATATCAGTTATTTCTTGTTCATTGTTGATATGCACTGAGTGTATAGACTTACCCTTTAACTCACAGGAGTAACATCATGACTCTTTTGCACTTAAGCATTTAATCTGAAGTGACCTCTTGGTTTCATAAGTACTAATTTTCAAATCTAGTTTGATAACTTCTTAGCTCCAAAACACCACGTGTCCAGTCTAGTGTTTTTCTAGATTGACTTTACAATAATAGGGACTTGTATTTATGTATAATCACCAGCCAGACAACAGAGCATGACTATTGATTTACTTCGTTGTTGTTCACATTATTGTATTTTCTGTTCTAGTGAAATGCAGAAAGTCAGTCAGCAGATGCTCAGTTTATTCTTGTATCAGATAAAAGCAAGCAAAGGAAGAGTTTCCATTAAAACCCACTGTTATTTGCTATACTTGATCACTAACTTGTGTACTGTAATTTCTCTTCATGTGTCTTTGTTGATTGCTTGAAGTAAATCCCATAAAGAAGTACTAAAAGAGATTAATGAAGAGTAACATCCTTGACTTAATTGGAATTGTCTGTATAGTGCTGAAAGAGAACCCACAGGGGTTAGGTTGTTGTTTACTTGAGTAGGTTGAGGAGAGGGAATTTCCAAGCAATGAGAAATTTGTTTATAGCTTTATAATTCAGGTAAACTGAATTTTCATCCAAAAGTTTCTCAATCTCTAAGTGTAAATGGCATTTGCAGCTGGCATCAGCTCTTAAATACCACCAAGAATTGCATGTTCTGCCATGACAGTGTATTTTCTCTTAGAAAGCATAATGTACCCTACTTTCTTCCACAAACTACCTCATGCAGTGTCAAAACTAATGCATCTGCTATTGTGCACCTTACTATGTTTCTCAGATCAAGCCAAGGTTTTATCTACCTCAAATGAGTGTTGAGGCCCTCATCTTGTTTCTGTAAGTGGAAGAAAATGTTTCAGATACTGGTCCTGTAGTACAAGCTAATGCAGATTTAAATTCTAAGTAGCAGTCCTAGAAAATGGTAACATTTAATGTTCTTAGCTCTGTGTGCATGAGGGTGTTATTAGGAAAAGGCTTTTACATCCAGCCATCAAGAGCTGGAGAATTTTTTTTTTTAATTTTTTTTTTTTTACTATATAAGTCCACTTAAGTATCTTTGTAAACTTACTGTGCACCAGAAGTCTCACAAGCATACAAGCAGTTAACTTATTTTGGCATGATACATTCTCATCACTGAGCTAAATCACTGCAGTTGATTATGGGTAAGGCTGCTGTATGCATTTTTTATGTTTCTTAAAATGTTCTTGCAATTTTTTTTGAAGGATGCCAAACAATAAAGCTGGTAACAGAAAACCACCATCCTTAGGTAATTACCAGGAGGTAAATATGAATGTCTAGGAAAACAACATTTTCATGTTACAGGTTTCTGTACTTGTTAGCAAAACATGTTTTTCTGAACAGGAAGCATTCTTAATTAGAATC